CCTCCAAACGTTTATTCACTGCATTCTCACTTAAGACCACAATAGAGACCTGTCCTCTGAAAGGAGAGCTAAGTGGAGGATGTTCTCTGTTTCCATCGATTTGTGCTCCTGTGTAGGAAAAGGGGGAATTAGCGGGGCCAAACGCGGCCGTTAGTTTAACGTACGGCCACTCGCGGGGAAATCGCGCAATCCCACCGCCGGGAAGAGCGAGTATTAGCGCGGGCCCCGGGGCTCCGATAACCGATGATTTATGGAAAATTGCGCTATCGACAGGAGGCTTATTGTGAACGAGAGATGCTTATCGCAGGTAATCGCCTGATGCGTCAGCTGCGAGACAATGTGAGTATAAAACAGACGGTCTTGGCTATTCCCCCGTGTGTCGATACATGCTGTTTATCTTCAGCATCGCGAAAGAGACTGTAAGGCAAGATTTGGGTCGCTTCTATCGAAGGAAAAGTTTTTGCTTTGAGGTAAACCTTAGAACATCCCTGTAGCTTCGTATAATTGCACATCGCGATATTTTAATAAAAGTTCCTGGTTATCATAGCAGACCATATTACAGAAAATGGTCTCTGGTATTCCATTGTTTTATCTCCAACAAGTCGTTTCAATTGTTCAAACTTTCATTAAGCATTCTGCAAGTGTTTCACACTGCAGCTTTATCTTAGAAAGAATCATTCGTTTTCTCTGCGTCTTATACTTGAACTTCAGTAAACCCCTGCCTTATGAATGTTCACAGGCTATCGATCATGAAATGAAAAACGATGCACTGAGATGACCCATGGACGACTTCACGTTGTCTGTCGTTGAACTTACTTTTCCACCAGATGCCGTTTCAGCAAGCATATCTAGTGTTTAGCCTTCAGTAGGGTGGATGAAAAATGTCACTTGATCCTAATCAGCTGGCTTTGTTTTTTTCAGTGATCTCAAGCTGGATTGTGAACGCACATACGGAACAAGCAAAAATACTAGAGACCTGGCGCAAGTCTTTGGGAACTCTTGTTAGATGATCAGCTAGATATATTGATACCATTGTACCAAAACATTTTAACTCGTGATGAGTATGAGCATAAAGGGAAAATTAATTAAATGGTACATTTACATCTTACGTTGTTCAAGTGTAATGGTATTCTCACGCCTAACAGAAACCTGCTGCGGGAAAAATGACCATTTTAGAGAGTGGTAATCCTTGATCCAAGGATCATCCGCATTATCTCCAATGGCGTCTATTGTTTTATCTGACTTAGACATCATCCGCCTCTTGTCTTAACGTCTTCTCTAGCGGAGTTTAAGTACTGAAAATTCATTCAACTTTAAATCCCCAACCTTCTCAACTTTGATCCCTTAAGAGCGGCCATTTCCATACATACTGCTGAGGTCATTTCCTTTATCGATTGCTGCTTCTTGAACCTTTTCTGGAGCCTTTGTTGAGGATGGAGCTTCCCGTATACAGATGTTGATGGCAAGTAGCAGGACAGCGTTGAGCCCGAGGCTTAGCGCCTTAACCGTGTGTGTCAGCGGAAGTGCCTCTGGCATCTGGTCGTCTGTGGCGGATTGTTAAACTGTCCGAACGCAGGAAAAACTTTGGCGGGTCGATTGAAGATCTGCCCCCGATAAGATCAGGATAAATCGCGCTGAGTAAAGGAGACGACCGTGAGTAACGAAGTGTAGGCTGCCGGGAATCTCCTGTCTTCGATCCGGGCCGCTGCAAACGACTTTGAGAGGTGCCGGATTGACATGAACGGGTCGTTTCCAGTCATGCTAGGGAGGGCAAAAGGATCGTGCATGATCATGTTCCAACAAAGTAATTGTCCCTTAGGCCACAGTAAGTAAATTTTATGGATGACATCCTTTGCAGACTCCAAATCTAATGTGATAGGGTCAAGGCGGGCCAAAAAAACAAGATCCTACATTTTCAAATTTAGACATCATAAACTTTATTGAACAGGAAATGATAGCTATATTGTGCTAAGGTTATTGTCAACAACACCCATTTGTCACTGAAACAACACTGAACAATAAAAGTTTTCAATCATTGTACAAATGGTTCTGATTCAGTGGGAACATATAAAAGGAATGAAATACATCACTGCATCAAAGTAAAAGACAGAACAATAAAGCAGAGCCTTGTGTTGTCTCCCCTTTTTATATCTATCTGCCATCCACGTTCCAACATGGTTAGACATGTCAATTTATCCATTTTCGGCATGTCAGAGAGCAACAAAATTTCTTGTTGCTGATGTCATCCATAAAAATTACTTGCTGTGGCCTTATAAGGAAAACTAGCTTCTATGCTGACTTGCCTTGTAACACACAGGAGTGGGTTAATTCCTGGGAGAAACTGCAGGTGATGTTTGATCACCTTCTCCATTCTTTCTAAAAGAAAATCACTTTTCGTTCCCAAGCTCCAAATTTCAAGGTTGAATTTTAAACTGTTCCCAACGAAACGTATATTTGTACCAATTTGCATGGAATTGAACAACAAATCACAACACAATCGACGGACGAAATGCTACCACTGCACAACAAACACAATCACTTTGTTGAGACTAGTGTTGGCATCACTGCGACGTTTTCAATTCGTAAGTCCATAGACTAGAGCCATTTGCCATGGCCCCAGCTAGTAGATGTTTACCTACTAGTACATGTACCTTTACTGAAGATCAACGAAGCGTTCGTGTTATATCACGTAACTCTTGATCTTTTTAACATCTACCTTCTGCTTTTATTGCTTTTCACATGGATTATACCGTATACGGTTGGGTCGCAATTGCACTTAGAAATGACAAACTTATAGCAATGTGAACCATTGACCCCCCCCCCTAAAAAAATTCAAACGTTTTAACAATAAAGATGACCGTTTAAGATTCACGGTAACAGCTAGTCTGTGTATGCACTAGTCAGTGGTGGCACAGACTGCACCTTGCTATAGCGAACATTCAACGAATATATAGTTGCATTATGCGGGGTTGTTTCGTGTCATGTCAGTTTTTCTGTCACATATCATAAATCTCTCTTTTTTCAAACATATATAACTCTTCGTGTAGTGACTGTGTATTCAATTTTTCTCTAGCCTGGGGCGCCCTTCCTCGGTGCCATACATCATTAGTACTGTATGACTGACGTTTCATATTTTCACATTAGACAGCTTCAGTGGCGGCTACAGCTTGATTAGTTTTTGAAGCAGCGGGCAAATGAATATAATCGCAATTTTACTTCTGCAACGAATGTCAAATTCACATGCACTTCTTTATCGTACCAAAACATCAAAAATCAGAATAAAAATTTGATGACTCGCTCCGGAGATTTCAGTCGTTGACGATGTTATTTTGTAAACTAGTGATAAATTGCCTGACAACAGGAAATAGGTTAGAATTTGCATACGTATTCTTGCCTGTCAGCAACCTTGTCAGTTTTAGCAAGCTTGTGTTTACAGATACGGCGGATATGGAGCACTCATCTTTCACGACTAGACAACCTTGTCGTGCTCTAGAAGATAAACACATCACAGTGTAGACTGCTTGTCGTACGGATGGTAGACACGTAAATACCATACCAACCATGTATCTTTGTCGTCTCAAGATCAGGTCATACAAAAACAAAACTTCCAGCTTTTTTGCCCTTAGGTAAACCGTATCTAAGATAAATTTGTCCCATAGAATCGTTGTTATATAGCAGTAGATGATGTACCTTGTACATAGTACACTTGTTGTGCAATAAAATTAATTTATCTATTCCCCTAGTTTTCTTTCTGATAATGTTCAGGACGAAGGAGGCTTTATGTACATATATGTCCGTTTTTTACACGTGTTCTTATATCATTTCTTATAGGTGGATGTACATGATCTTTAATAATAAATATGGAGACACGTATATTCACAAAATTCGCATTCATGGTGTAACGTTTTGCTGGTTTGAATCCATGGATGGTTCAGTGAAGTACCCACGTATACGTTATATCTGTTATGCTAATCCGTTGTTTAAGTTTAGAAGCTAAAAAAACCTCTTCTTTATCCAATTAACTTAGTGACAGATTGATTAGTGAGTTGTTTACTACAGCAATAACTAAAGCTGCCTGTAGCTATTCATGCTTCACTTTGTCATGTAACAAGTATGTCAGGATGAGATTGTGTGAGTTTCTTCGTACGTGGATATTTCAAGCGTAAATCTTTGCTAAATGTTGTGATAGATTTTGGAGACCTATGGGGAAAACCAACTGAAACGGAAAATGTAATACTGTTTTTCAATGTTTCTAATTCAGAGCAGAAGATGAACGCATTTATTACAGAGAAGGCTTAAGGTTTTAGTTTAATTGGTCTCTTGACACCTTCAGTAGCGTTACCATCTTTAATTCCAGATGTTCTACAAGAATGAACACTTTGATTGATTAGCACCATTTTGTGCAATATTTTCATCACTTGTCTGGTGCAGACCATAGATGGCTTGGGTGGCCCAATGTGTAATCATCGACGATGCTTGTTATTGCCGAGGGGACATCTAGGCATAATACAAAACGTGGTCCAGTAATTACTAGCCACATCTGTGATGTGAAAAAAAAACTCAAATATCAAATATCGTTTCAGGAAATATTCTTGAAGCCGCAGTGATCTCCACGTTTTTGTGTTGATGAGTCCGTAAGTAAAAATGACGCTTTTACTTCTACGGATTTACTAGTAATATGTTCCTATATAATCCAAAGGAATTAAAAAAGACTCATTCCTTATGTAACGCCGACATCTTGCCCATTACGTATCTTGGGTTAAGATTATTATCTTTAAGTTAACACAGGTTATCCTTTCGCGTTTACACCACACAATAAGACCAGCAACACGCCGTATGTTTGTGCAGGCTGCATAGTTTATATTGCGTAGCGGCATGGCCAATGCATGATCCACATACAGGGAAACAAAACATTATCCATTGCAGACACAGGATGGAACGAACGGAAAAGTTGGTTCAAACATCAAAAGCAGAGACCTAAAGCTAGACTGATAGTGTTGTAATATTACACTTCGAATTTTGTCTTGCGTGAATACAAAAATATTCCTGATTTCTTTCTTACATCATCTTTAGTGCCTTTTCATGGCACTTGATCTTCATGGCATTGCCATTCAACCATAGCTGTAAATATAAAAGACAATGTTGATGCAATGAACACAATACTCTAGCAACAGGGAAATGGCGCTACTTGTCAAATATGTGAAGACGAGGAGATAGACTTGAGACCTATCAAAGCTATGCACATAGTGGGGCTTTTTGCAATTACAACGTAAAAATGTATGATTTACAATATCAATACATCAATGGCTATATCATGTTGACATCTGGAGAGGCATCAAATATTATGTCTCAAATTTTTTATTTCGGAACGTTTCTACCGTAGACCAGTTCTGTTAAATTTCTGTTTCTGCCTTTACTTCACAAGCTTTAAGACATATATATTATGTATTAGCCCTGAGAAAATGTAGGCCGATAAACTTTGGTTAGCTGTGCCACGTTACAATAAGCAAGAGTACAAAAATATGTGTCTATCTAAGCAAGGGCCACGTAAATAGATCTTCAGGTTGTGACTACTGAAAAACAGAAGCGAAGACAGAAAGGTGTGACTGTGTCGATGCTTTGTTAGTCAACTAGTTACAGATGAACATGAAGCAATTTGCCTGTCAGTTAACTATAAACGAATGCCTTCCCGTCCAAATTTTGTTTCGATGGTAATATCTTAGAGAAGGTTCACAACACTGGTAGAAACTACTGTCATTTCATCAATAAAAAAAATGGTGGCAATCTGTTAATATTTGGCAGATTGTACCATGGCCCATGGTCCCAATCTTACACAAATGATCCTCTTTTATGTAGGCTGCAGACCTTACAGATTTCAGCAAACTTTGGGGTTGATAAGCGTAGATGTCAAGCATGACGGCAAAACGAAAGAGACATGAACCCGTATTTTAGTTCATCCAGATCAGTTTGTACAATGTCGGTGAATGTGTTATAAGTCAATGTTTGCAGAATTACACTTGACGTTCAGGCGTCACCATTTGAAATTTGCATGGCTTCTACAATATCTTTAGACGGAATACTGCAGAATTTACCATCTATCGTGCTTCCACTGCATGACTAAGGGTCCAGACAAAGATTTCCTCTGCTGTCTTCAACGACAGACATCCATTGGTTCACTACATATAAGCGAACACCCTTAGCCCACGGTGAGACCAACGCCCACCCATGACCATTGATCTGATGTGAATATTGACAAAACTTTCTTTTTGTACCACATACATGAATTTACAAAATGACATTATAATGGGTATTCTATTACATTTATATAGGTTCTAAGCAAGCCCTAAATTTAACTCTTTCTCCTTCTTTCTCGTCGAATTCTATGTTTTTGGTGACAAAAACTCTGTATTGAACATCATTATCGCCTCCTAAGAGTTGGCATTCTGCCTGAAGCTCATTCGAACCATCGGCCTCTTTGATGTCGAGTGACAATCCCACGCAGAAGAGGTTCAATCTTCTGCCGTCTGTCCTAGAAATGTGACTGATGCGTGCTTTTGGGATGACACAGCGGGATTCCCCGTACTCTTGGACTTCATTATCACAGTTGCAAAGTCCTGTAGGATCTGCGGGATCGCATGTAATGTCCATCTTACAGCTGACAACGTGCAGTTTACCAGATTCGCCATCAGAGTCGTCATCGATAGCTCGTTGTTTTCGATTTCTATCTTTTTCTACTTCTTCTGGTTCGATGTAACCATCGAATAAACCCTCGCCATTCAGCTTTAATCTTCCAGAAAGCGTTTGGATGCCGTCAAAGTCACCGCTACCGGAAATGATGTCACCACTGCCAGAGATGATTTCCGTGACGTTTTCGCCGTCGCCATGATGGCCGCCTATTCCCTTCGGACTTTTCTTCGGATGCAATAGAGACATCGATACTGTGACGTTCTTACTGTAAATCACAGAGGGAGTCCTCTGCTCCTCTGAGGTAATTGATAGATTCCACAACAAAAGGATGAAAACCCGGCACAGCAGCTTCTTTGTTCCCCAGCAATCCATGGCTGACAGGCGCCCGTTATCTCTCACGTGGGATTACCTGCAGGAAATGAAAAAAAAGAAGAAAAAACAGGATCGTGTCAGTCAAGACTGATTGCACTCGTCCTCCTATCGTGACCGAAGACTCCAGACTTAATTGAAAGAAATCAGACGTAATCTCGGACCACGAGAGTCGGGGGGATAAAGAAGAAGTCCCGCTAGGTTGAGAGATATCACAAATAGTCTGAGCAATTCAATTTTCGTAAGTCGCGATGGAATGTGGCTGGAGTGCCATACATTATGTTGAAAATCACCGCTATAGGGCACGCACTGAGGCTTATGTTTTTGTTCCCACACTTCGTTACGTGTCCTCTACCTTTACCTACGTAGGATATGCGTGTACTTACATCTACATATTAATGTTTTTAGCACTGATTTGTCTCTGGTTTTCATTCATTGTTTAGTCAACTAAAATTCATAGAGAATTATGACTTTACTTCAACCATACCGGAGTACATTTAATACCTCCAATATTTAAGATTATTCCAGAATGTACAAAGAACACATCTAAGCTGCAAATCCTTATTGTCGTTCTCTGGATTCTCAAGCGCTATACTATAAGTCACGCGGGAAGGACATTTCCATTCCTCTGTAGTCTGTGTTACTGTCGGGAGATTGCTTCTTGTGTAACGATACACTAGACGTTACCGGCTTTTACCTGCACGCTGTAAAAGCATCGTAAATATTTTACTCCATAAAATTGGCTTGGCGATAACACATCACGTCGACAACGACGTTCATAGCCAGCGTCTCATCGCCTTTCATCAGACAGCTCTAATTAATGTGCAGCAGTCTCAAGATTAAACCAATCTTCTTTCTAATTTGCTGCGTCTTGAATGTTTGATACATGAAGGCAAGGCGCATGGGGAGAACATCGTCTTCATGTGATTTTGTGCTTGTATGAATAATCACCGGCGATGCTTCCATCAATAATATATGATGGTTATTTAATGAATGCCTTTACTTGGAGTTCTGACTTGTACATCAATCTTAGAAGGGGTGTTGGTGCATTACACAGCTGAAATACGAGGTTTTAAGGAGCGCGCGGTCCTTGGACTTGTAATGTGGTTATCAATCCTAGCCCAGGACTAGGCTTGCAACACTTTGAGCAAGGAACTTTGAACGTTTGTGACGACTGAGAAATACTGCGTAGAGAGTCATCGGTGGGAGGTTCATTGGATTCATCGACACTCCAACCACATGAATCATTCTAAAGCTGTTCTTGGAATTTCTGCGTGTTTGCATACATGTGCATAAAGTGAATAAAGATTGGATTATATACGTTATTGGGAAAAATGCAATATGTCAGCCCCCTCCCCGCTTTTGTAAACAGCTCTGCTGGGATGCTATTTTTTCATAACAACGTGCATGCAGCGTCATTTGAGCAGTTTTATTGGCGCCATGATTATTCGTCTTCAGGCAATGTCTCCCTACCTGAGAAATTAAGCTTCATATGAGAGCTGAATGCTACACGTGGTGATTAATAGTCCTAGTTAGACATTACACGTCTTGTCTGGCATGGTGGCAACAGTAGCAGGAGCGCTACAAATCCTGTAACTAGCTAAGAATTCTAATAATGTATAAATAAAGATACCAGAAAACTTCAGTGAACAAACTCTTCTGAAAAGAGGCACACGGAAAGAATAAAAAAAAGTCTTGATGTTCGGGTATATGTCTTTCAAGACGTTGATGACTGACGATAAACGTGAACAAAACTGTTGCCATTTTTCCTACAAAGGTATTTTCCCACGGTATTTCTTCGCAGTTCCTGGAACTGTTACTTGAGCGGATCCACCTTTCTAAGACGCAGGTAATTTTACGACGTCTAATAGCCAGGACAACCCACACGGCAATCACACTTGTGTAAAGTCAATGTGAGGTCTTGATAAGAAACCCAGCCAATAGACAAAGTGGCGTCTGGTAATGGTTACGTTGGACAAATTCGTCTGCCCTCGTAACAGAAGGGTCAAGAATGAAGCCGTGGGAATATCGCGGTCAACAGAGGCGACGATGGGAACTGCACTTCTGACTACTATAGGGGCAGCTTCCATTTCAACTAAAAGTCTCATTTTATAGATATCAAGACCTCTTTCTCTCTAGTTCACAGGGCAGTGACTTGATCTATACACTGGAGGAGTGTTATTTTAGTTGAGAAATTGGAAGTAAAGTTTGGAAATACCAATCGCTACCTTGCACCAAATGTGGGGGACAATTTTCCCAGCCATAGCATTCGCAGTAAAAGCAGCAGAACGGAATTAGCCTCAGTTGTAAAAACAGGTACTAGCTCCTTATAGCTCCCATTAGATACAAAGTCGTATCTCCAACGTAACAGTTTATCACCGTAAATGTAGAAAGTTATGCCTGGCCTAACTTTATCGCGAGACCGAACATTTTGTAAAGCAACGCACACTCTTCAATGCTCATTTTTCGATGATATCCATGTATCTGGTGTAGGTTTAACAAAACGCATAGCTTGTCGAACACGCCTATTCTCTAAAGTGTGGGGATTATAAGGCGTGACAAATTACAAGCAACGTTCTGTATACAGACATTAGCACAATAAAATGTAGCAATGATTGAACACCTGCTCCAAGACAGCTATGTACAAGGTGAAGGCTGTACCAAGATGCCACAGCTAAATTTGTATCCAATCCATCAACACTACCAACGTATTGAAACCGAAGGAATATCAAACTACTGTCTTTATATCACACATTGCAAAGGATCATCGTTAAGTGGCTATACTAGCTGTAAGTGTGATCCACTATCACTGTCATTAAGACCCCTGCTTTTCGATACCTAGGACACCATTGTCAGACTTGTCGCAGAGATGGCTGTGAAGAAAATGTTAACTGTCAGTTACCAACTAAATCTATCTGTAGGACGGCTACTTCATTTTGCTTTGCTTTGTATGAATGCGCGCCAACAGAAAACACTTTGTAAAGCACCCCTTAGTCAAACTGATCTATATGTTAACATACTACACACTTGAAGTTCACACCTAAAAACGGTAAATGTTTCAGTGTTACCACCAGGACATTTTGAGGAAAGGAACATGTAGTGAGCAGCATAAGTCCACACCTAAAAATGTCCACACCTAAAATGGCGAATGGTACATTGTTACCACCAGGGCATTTAGAGAGTAAAGGAACATGTACTATTTCAAGTGCTATGTACTTGAAACATGTACCGTATCCTTTTCCGGGATCCCTACCTTGATGATTAATGGAGGGACTCGACACCTATAGAACAGTATCATTTCCAAGGCTAAAAGCAGGGATTCCGTCCTTATCTTCAACACACTGCCTGGTGTAAACATTCTCTGCGTACCACGAGTCATAAATCAGTGTATCATACGCCTGGTTAGGCTAGCAGGTGTTAGTGTACATGCTTTACAATGTGCTATAATTATAATGTTTGGGAAAATCCTTCAAATGAACAAACTTATGGCAACGAGAATCATGGTAGTTTGACGGCTGGTTGATATAGTTTCACTGTGTAGAGGATATAGCAACGTTTTGGATCTTGGAAGCTTTAAGTCAGTACAGATATAATTTGCTTCAGGTTGTATGTATATTCCCACGCAGATTCTTTTATACCCATGTAAATACTCTTCTCCAACATTTGCCATAAAATATAGCATAACTTTAATATACTAATAAAATTCAAAATATTTCATACCTCATCTATAGGCACACACTAAGTTTCCACATATGCAAAATTTACAATGTTGACATGATAAAGTGCCCCCGTAAGCTACATAACTTTTAAAATATCAGTGACGTTATCACTGGAAAGAATGGACATGGGTCTACATCAATTTTTCGAGATAGTGCGGTGCATCTTACTCTACAATACCACAAAGGAGCATCATGTAACAAAGTCGTTATATACCGCTCTGCTGCCCTATTGTCTTGATGATCGATGGTTTGACACACCTGATTTTAAGAAATGTCCCACATCTGTCTCACCTAGCCGCCGAAATCCTTGAAAACATCGTGTAAAATTGAAACGTTTGTCCAGACCCAGCCCGGCACCTCCCCTCCTCTGCGCGCAGCGATGACAGCTAAACCATAAAACCTTCGCCTGGGGCATATTTTACAGTGAAGGTGAATTAGCCTCGACCGATACGATACAAATCATACCCTTATGCTGCAATACAATCCATCAAAACCAATACGTTTTGAGCTGAGCGGCAACAAAATACGTGACAGCTCTTTATTCTGGGAACGTACGTCAGCGTATTGTTATGTGAATGGTAGGATTACCTTTAAATTCACCAAGGAATCATCAACCGGCAAAAGCTCTTACAGGTCTTTAAGGTATCAAAGCTGTCTTCTGCAATTAAAGGGCGTGTGATAATCGTGAATGGAATCTTCTCGTGCGAATAATCGGATTATTTACGCTTCGATTGTCTGTATACACGGCAAGGGCGGATTAACCTGCTGAAAATGTATACAGGATGCTTTGAAAGGGCGGCAGCTTTTGTACATCAGAGCAGCATCTATACGGGGCTGGTGGACAACAATGGGATGATAGTGGGCTGGGGCGCACTCAACAGTAAAATGTCATGTCAGGAGGACAAAGCGGCGGCTCAATGGCGCACTTAAGGGCTTGCCACCGTCGCGTGTTGAAATCAGCTTGCCTTTATCAGCCCGGCTTGTAGCCATAACATTTCACATGACGTGAAGGGAATATGGGCCTGCTCCCTCACCCCAGGGAACGTACAGTTATAGTATATTTTAGAAGAAATTCATCTTTGTGGTTCCTTTGCAATTCCATACTGCCATCGCCTTGATATCTCAGCTGTACGGATTCCCAAAAAAAGACAAACTCTTTGATATGTTCTAACTATCTTTTTATTCTCGGATCTTTGAGAAGATGATAGATGTTACATGTCGTTACTTAATTCTTACACATATCGGTCTATCGAGCCATCGGTGAGATCTTTTCAGACTTTAGATTAACTTACGCCTACACGTTACACGCATCGCAGCTTTTGGGACTCAAAAGCAAAGCTAAAGAATTATACCTGTCAAATGACAGAACCGGTCCGACAAATACTAATGTAGCTGATACACTGTGTTATCTTCAAAGCTATAAAACACGCTGCTATTCACGTAATACTTAAAAAGACGATTCCACTGGGCATTTACGCAATTTTCTCCCAGTGACGACCACGTTCTTGTGCACGTTAGAAAATTCTCTTGAGAAATCTATGATACATCTAAAAAGATAGATATGATATGGGTCATTTATCTAAATGTCTGACATTTATTCTTGATCACGAAATAATCAAACCCAAACTTTACAGTGTGTGGTTCTGCGTGGCACGAAGGTCCTCGTGAACCGAGAACTTTTATTTTACTGGAGTTTCTCCAAGCTTTCTAAACTAAGTTAGTTTTTATGAACTAGAATGCATGGAAGCAGCTTATGCATCACACATTCACTATCAATGGTAGGTATTAAAATGTTACTGATCATGAATAGATGTGCCCCGTTAAAACGATCACAAATACAAAGATATGGGACCACGCATGCGATTTCAAACTTATGTGATAGCGACTTTGATAAGTAATTAATCACAGTCTGCAATAAGGTAGTAGTTCTGCCCACGGCCTAATATCGTTATGAACAAATCTTTTGTTTACGACTAAGCCATGGATATCCATCATAAGGATCAGAACAAAGACAATAAAATCTTAAACTCGCATTTCTTTCATCAAGTTCATGTATCCGTATTTTTGCCATCATTTCTCTTTTCTACTTTGTAAATGACGGATAGAAAGCTTTAGCTTATGAGACAGCGCGAAACTTCGTCAGACTGTCCGTCTATTGAGGTGGAGCCTCCGAGGCGCCTGCCCTGTGTTTCACTTAACCACTCCTATTTAGGACAATAGCCGAGATCGCTCCTGTTTGCGTTGTGAATACAAAACCAGCTGTCCGGTTTGGTTTGGCTTGCACGTGATTGCTGCACCCTTGGGAGCAATGATGTCAACAGATACATAGTACAGATCCAGATAACACGGTTACTGACAGAGACACACGAGCTCTTTAGAGAGGAATCATGCTCTTTATAGAATGTTACTCGACTCCGAGACTAACAGTCTCTTCTCTATGGCTACGCCAGGCCCAAGAACAACGTTAGCAGATTCGTACCTCATTGTTCATTAGACTTTTTATAGTTGCATCGAACTAGGCAACTACGTGTTGATAAAACGATCATGCCAACTAGATTGGCTATTTCTCCATGCTTAATCAGTCAAGTTGATATCAAAATGATTGGTTTAGACCCGTAAGCTTCGCCTGGAACTTCGGTCGTATCATTGGATCTACTTCATAGATCTTTAAGATACAAGTTATGGATAACGAGGATAACTATTGAAGATGTCATCACTGCAGTCAAAAGCTAATCCAGAGGCGCGCAAATGTTGAGATGTCTACTTTAACTGTCAGGTGAGTTAGACATGCGAAAGAAAAGCCAGAGAAAACATATCACACTTGTCGAAGGAACGGTCGTGTCTCTAATCATCATATCAGGTAGCAACTTAGACGTACTGGGTAAAATGTACGAGCATCCCTCCTTGCTTTTTCAGACTGGAAACAAGCAGAATGACAAAGTCTCTCCAAGACAAACATCGGCAAGAAGTCGGAATGAATATTAAAGCAACTGCTAAACTAAACAGCGAGGAAATCATTTCTAGAGGAAAATCCTTCAGGTAATCTCAGAAACCTCTCCGCCTCCGTGCTATGCATCCCACCTCCACTCAGTAAATATCTACAGACACTCCTACCTGTATTGCCCCCAAGGGAAGAGAACGGCCGGGTGTAGCTTCAGCCAATCCTCGCCACCAACTACGCCCTGACACCTGTCTCAGACAAACTTAAGGCGGGCGTCATTTGCATAATTGGCACTTTTCCGGAGGAAAGCGATCTCACCAATCCTGAGGTGGGAAATGGGCTGGTCATTGCAAAGGTGGTTCCTGCAGTTAGCATATCTTTACCATGCGGGCTGCGGGCCACGTCCGGCCGGAGCGATGTTAACTTCCCGTCAGGGAGTAGCCGGGAAGTGGGATGGAATGGGAGGAGCACATGGACAGAATTGAAGGTTGCTATTTCTTTTAATCTCATACATATTCTGTACAAAATTGTAACGAATGCTACTTTTTAGTATGACTTTCCTTATAGCTTTCATTTATTATTTCGCTAATACTAATATTCTGCTCATACATATTTCTGGGAAATAGGCATGCCAGGACCAGATAGAAGACCTGTAATTGTAATGAATGAATGAATGCTAATTAGATTACTAGCAGTATGACTGTCTTTTTTTGTTCTGCCCTTATTTCTTGTCTTTTTTTTATTTTCAAATAGACATGTATAATACAGGGCATGGTGGTGAGGTACTCCAGCTGTAGCAAATTTTAACCTCATCACCAGACATACAGGTATACAGCGACAAAATACAAACAAAAACAACAGGGAACAGCAAATGGAATTTTTGGGTGGAAAAATTGTCTTTTGTAATTCACACAACTGCAACTGTATATTCTTCTGCTCGTCAGTTACATACATTTCTGGAATCATTGTCAAGTCACAGATTGGAGACGTTGGAGCTTACTGTGGGCAGAAGTAGCCAACAAATGAAACATCATCGCTCAGTACTCCGGTACACTGTATTGAACGAAGCGCCCCTGAACAGCCGGTGCAGGGTATAGATCAAATGCCCAGAAATCGTTAAAGCACGTTCTTAACAAATCGGGCCGTGCAAAATGATACAACATAGATCAATACGATTGGATATAACAGTTACTCCGTACCAGTAACCTATTCCTCATGGTTCTAATGTCACCTCGTATTGAAGTCAAGCTAAGTTACAGGGTGACCATTAGCCAGCAGTCTGCTAGAATATATCAAAAGTTTTCCAAAGAAAATATGTTTTCCGTATGCATTCCTGCCCTGTGTCTAAACCCAGTAATAAGTTACAAGGGATTTTTCATACCAATATTTCAATAGCTAGGTACTACAACATTGTCCCGTTCTGAAATTGGGATGCAAAATACGGTACTGTGATATAATTTAGCCAGTGTATTCAATTTTTCTGTCAGGGCTACATGCAGTACTCCTCTATCCTACCATACAATAAAAACAGTGTACGTGACTTACATAATTTCATTATGAGCTGAATTATTTTGATATGAATTTCCTCATTTTACGATTGTGAAATCTGCATTATTTATCATTCCCGGGCAATGCGTTATGGTTAAGTGTGCACGAGTCGACTTCTTGTATCAAGACAGGTCAAACTTGATGGCAAGCTGCTGGAAAGCCCAACGACAACAGCAACAGCAAGTATGCCAGCAACAGCAGGTAAATCAGAAGTGCCTGACTACCCCACTGATTTCGTATATGTTTGTTTTTTTTTCATATTTTTTTTCATACACGAGTCCCAAGCCAATTGTATCTGGATATCGTATAGACAATCTTAGATGTTAGCTTCGTTGATTATCAGCAGTTCTGTCTGATCCTTTTAAAACATACATGAATAAAGTACAACGATGTCCCCGCCCAGTCGCTTGGGAAGACAGGACGTACGGACGGCAATACAGGGTGTGGATCAAATGGATTCATCCATAATTAATTACCCAACATGCCTACCATTTACCGTCATTTCCGGAAGCACATACCCTTATACTATAATGACTTGAGCTCTCCTCTCACGTTACCTGGCATCTTTATGATATCATGCTAAGTCTTCTGATTTTGAATCTAAAACGATAGTGTAACGACATTTCTGCAGCTCATATTATGGCCGTGGTAGTGGGCCATTTATAATCTATTTTTAATATAACGAACATATCTCAAGGTATAACTATGCCACTGTAATATACAATCATTGTTACAAGACTCCATATACTGAACACACGAAGCAGGTGCCTACTCAGCACATATGTTACATATAAAAAGATATTTAAATCATCTGAATATTCAAAGAAATCTATGCACCTCATAAGGAGAGGACAATAATTCTCCCAATCAAGTTATGTTACATAATCTCATTGTTATCGACTCAAATCTCTAGAGGAGTTTCAGTCATACGACTCCTCTGTTAGCTGGAAACCTCGCTGGAGAAAGAA